GCCATCATACATTGATTGCAGCACCTTGTGAATATATTTCTATGAAAGGCGCTTTATAAATAAAACTTTACTTATTGGTTGAACTCGTCTCTTATTTGCCATGTTGTTTGTAAATTCCTCTATTTTCTGTATTAATTCTTTCAATGTTAAAAAATAATAATTTTCTATCCTAAATGTTTGTACACTTATTTTTTTAATTTAAAGAAAACAAACTTTTTTCCTGTTGCTGCAGTGTCATGTCTGTGTCACAGCGCCACTCACAGGCCCGGTGGACTCACTGCAGCCTCTGTTTTTAAAAACAAACCAGATCAGATGAGGGGAAATCCCGCAGCGGTTCTGGTGTGGACGGGCCTGACAGTCCGCCTGGAGTTTTTAATTAAAGTCGACCCGTCGGACCGGATCAGAACCGTTTGTTTACAGATGAGAACTGGGTCAGAGACGGTTCTCAGAGGAACAGAAGCTCCTCCAGAACAAAAGCATCCCTGACAGCCGGCGTCAGCGTTACACACCTGAGTCAGGTGATACGGGACAAAACACCTGACACACACACACACACACACACACACACACACACACACACACACACACACACACCTGGATGATCCTTCAGACTCACTGGAATAAACATCAAACTTTATTTCCTCTTTAGAATAAAAAAACTGATGTTTTAAAAATGTGTTTTTATCCAAACATTTTGTTTTATTTTCATTGTTTTGAACGTTTTCTTTGATCTTCTGCACTTTATTTTATTTTATTTCATCATTTTGTTTTTATTTATTTAATTATTTAAAACCAGTGTTTCCTTTACTTTGTTCCTTATTAATCTTTTAAAGAACGTCAACAGAAAAGGTGTCGGAGTTAAATCCTCGGATCAGAGCCGAGTTTGTTCAGGACCCAACAGAACCCAGAACCTGAACCAGAACCCAGAACCTGAACCCTGCAGCGGAGACAACAGATTTAATTAATCCGTCTAATTGTTTCTGCGGTTCTGATGAGGAACAAGATCCGTCTGACGCCCAGAACTAATTGTTCTGCTGGGCGGAGCAACATTCCTACAGAACCACAGACCCAAACAGAACCAGAACCAAGGCCACAAAGAGCTCATCAGAGATGTGAAGTTAATAAAACTAAAAGTTGATTTTTCTTTACTTTGAGCAGAAAAACGTGTTTTTTATGTATTAAGTNAGGAGAGGACAGATGTCTCATCAGGAGAGGACAGATGTCTCATCAGGAGAGGACAGATGTCTCATCAGGAGAGGACAGATGTCTCATCAGGAGAGGACAGATGTCTCACAGGGAGAGGACAGATGTCTCACAGGGAGAGGACAGATGTCTCACAGGGAGAGGACAGATGTCTCATAGTGAGAGGACAGATGTCTCACAGGGAGAGGACAGATGTCTCACAGGGAGAGGACAGATGTCTCATCAGGAGAGGACAGATGTCTCACAGTGAGAGGACAGATGTCTCACAGGGAGAGGACAGATGTCTCATCAGGAGAGGACAGATGTCTCATCAGGAGAGGACAGATGTCTCATCAGGAGAGGACAGATGTCTCATCAGGAGAGGACAGATGTCTCACAGGG